AAGAAAAAAATTATATAGACGATCATCATTATATTGCCTATGGTTACTTTGAGAGGATTAGGTTTTTTTTCTCTGCTGACATTACTTTATTTATAATTTATTTTTCGTTCATATCTCATACTTTATATTATGTTTATGGTACACTAATGAAGAGCATCGATTCTATTTAATATTAAATAAAAAGGTTTTATATTAACAAAATATCATATCAATATGACAGATTAGCTGCAATCTGTTTAACTGTTGACTTCTTTTCATTTTTTTTTATAAAAAATAAAATCAAATTTAGATGTTTACCAACATCAAATACTGAAAACGTTTATGAACAACGTTTACTTCATTGGTATAATTCAATAAAACCAAAATTAGGAAATGAATCAATTCGTTTTTTTTACACCAGTTATTTCAAGCAGTGAAATAAATGTTAATATTATTTAAAAAATTTTCATTGATTTTAGTTTTTTTCTTAGTTAGCTTCTGCTTCATTTCTTTCAAATTCACCATTAATAGCTCATCATAATTCAACTGATTATAATAAATATTTATTATCACAAGTAAATTCTTTTCCTCCAGATGAACCAATATTATCATCAACTGTTTGTGATCGTTTATCAACATCAACACCAACCCAAACATTTCAAACACAAAATCGTACTGGTTTATATCAATTATGTTCAAATGGACGTTATATTATAGATGATGATTGGTGTCAAACATATAAATATCATCGTTTACCACGGTTTATACGTTCTTTAACAATGTATGATCAACGTAAAGAACAATGTGTAATAATGTTAACAGAATTTAATACAATGACACAAATGGATTCTGTTCAAAGTATGATATAGCATGAACAATTACAAGTTTTTCTTTTTATTACGTAAGCATTTTAAAGTAAATAAAGTTTTATTGTTTCTTTTTTTTTAAAGTTATCATCGTGTATATCGATGTGAACTAGAAAGTGGTACAATAAATCAAATAAATGAATATGAAGTACTATCATGACGACATAGTTTAGCTCATATAGCATGTGATCTTCAATCATATGTATTTCTTGTATATGAATATCCAGCTGCAAGTCTTGATTTATGGTATATATCAACAATAACAACATGGTCACTTTTAAAACGATGAATACCAAGAGAATTATTTCCGCCACCAAAATATAATGATGTAGATAATGATGAACAAAATGATCTTGAAAATGTATGTTTCTTGTTTCTTTTTTTTTTATGTCATTTATTTTGTTTTACAATTATAGATGAAACATATTAAAAATTTATTCCTCAACGACTTTTTGATATTGATTTATCACATCTTCATTTTGCTGAAGAAAATTTTCAAATGGAGATTTTACCTGCTAAACAAGATTGGTTATTTGCTATTCGACGAGCATATCTTGTTTATTTAGATTATAATGGAAAAGATGGTAAGGCATATTTATAATTAACATGATTGATTTTTTATTTAATTTAGCAAAAAAATCTTACTACCAACATCAAAACGTTGTGCAGATTCAATTTATAATTTTTGTATCATGAATGAAAGAAGTAAGCACCTTGAAAATGGTAAACATTCAGTAGTACACCTTGTTAGTGCACTTGGATTCTATAAACTTTAGATTGGATTTCGTATTTTCTACATTATCTTGGTTTTGTCTTCGTGAACAAAATAGTCTATTGTTTATGTGAAACAGTGTATCCTGGAAACATTATTGCGTTACTTTAAGCTCTTGAGATTTTGTTCTCTTTTGTTATTGTTTTTTAGATTGCTGTTTTTTGTTATTATTTGCACTCTATTATATTTGTTCCGAATAAAATTGAAAGATATTTTAAAGAAATTAGATGATGTTCTTATAGAAAGTGAAATATTATTCTTCGTTGAGAATAATATGAGACTATTAGTTTTAGAATAGAAAGATTTTTTTGCATGGTCGAAGTAAGATAAGCAATCAATTTCATTAAGAATACTAGTACAACAAGGTTTTTATCTTTCTCTTTATTAAATAGTTTGTGGTGATTAAGTGAATGTCCCGTGTATAATATAGTTGCGTAACCAAGCTGGAACCAGCTAGGGCAGGTGTGGGTGGAGTTACACAGGAGACTCTCACTGGTATGCAAACACTCACACCTATACTCACCCATGCCCATACCTACACGCATCCACACCCACATCCTCGTTTCGACCTCAAATGACTTTAAAATAAAAAAACAAACATCACCATTGGATGTAGAAAAAATTTCGAAGTTTATTTCAATGATCTTTGTTTTCAATTGATTTTAGTATAACGAATATTGATTAAAACAAGTCATTTGCTACGTTTGTTTTTTGCTAACCTTGCTTTATTTTCTTTGATCGATTTTTCTCAATCGTCTATCATCCTTAAACAATTTTATTCTCTATTTCCATCATTTTCCTCTTTTTTTGTGTACTTAAAAAGTGAGTACACTCTAGAATCGGTCAGTGTGTCCGACCGTTTACACGATAACTTTTGAAAAGAGAGTCCGATCGCGATGAAATTTTCTACACAGTTTAGTCTCAACAATACCTCGCTCGAGTTCGAAGATGAAAATGATTTGCCGAGCCGTTGCTGAGTTATTGCAAAAATAGTCATTTTTCCCTATGTCTTCCTATGCGAAGATCGATCTATCCCCGTTTTCGAAAAAACTTTTCCCGTCATAATCAAATAAAACCCCAACTATTATATACTATTCGATAGAGAATTTCATGAGCTACAAAATGGTATATAAAACATTAGGAAATAAGAAAGCTGGGTGTGAGTACGAGTGTCGGGTGTGGCTGTGGGAGTGTGGGTGGGTTTGCATGCCACTCTGCATGTGACTCCGAATGTAACCATCTCTTGAACCACACGCACACCTTCACACCCACACCCTCTAAAACCAGGAATATTCTTAATAATATTTTGCACCAAATTTGTTGTACCAGCACTAAAAAAATATATATATATATATATTTGAGTTGAAAATCAATTGAAACTTACGTATGCTTATTCAAGTAATCATGAATAATGAATTCTTCAACAAACGGATAAACATCATCCTTTACCTAA